TTTTTATTATAGATACTTATAAAATTTTATAATCACAATGTTGCCGCATATTTAATGATCCCTAATATATACCCCCATCATATTGTTTTAAAGAATTATTTTTAAGATTTCAACAGAAACATTTCAATAATATTTTATTAGCAAATATTTGAAAATTATTAACACTTTGTAAATTTTATCATATAAATATTCACATTTGCAATGTTGAAACATATATTACAATTTCATTATTTAAGTTTGTATCATAATAAATTTATGTATGATGCTTTTTATATTATCCTAGAATTATACTTACATTTATGAATTTCAGTTACAATTTCTTGACAATTTTTGAGGTTTTCACAATTAAATATAAAAAATAAATTTCTTTATAGTATTTCTTTTGTAAATAATGCATATAAACAGTAAATATTAATTTAAAAATAATTTTTAAATATGTACTATTTTTTCTTTTATTTTACTACTTTACAAATGATGTTTTTTGTGTATATCCCCAAATTATATTTTATTTTCATTGATATTACAGTCTAAATACGAGTACAAAGCAATTTGTATTACAAATGCATCTGTTGCAGCGATATTTAACATTATAAACGTTAATATCTAGCGTTATAATTTGCAATATATGTAATTTATAGCGCCTTTCTAATTTACTTTTCAATTTTTATTACGCAATTTCCAGTGCTATCAATATTTTACAAAATAAAAGTATTTTTTCGATAAAAACTCAAAGCATTTCTATATTAAAGGAGCGAGAGAGAAAACACTAAAGCGTGCAAGAGAGACAGCTACTGTTAGACGATGAGATCATCATGCTCTCCCCTTCCTTCGTCGCCTCTCGCCTACAAGCTGTTTCTAGCTCCCCCTTTTCTTCATCGTCCCTCGCCCACAACCGGTTTGCCTGAGGCATTGAGTAAAAAGAAACAGGAGGGAGCATATACTAGCCAGTAACGGGATTCTGTAATGTTAACGATGTCGTTATGGTATCGTTGCGCAGCTATTACATGATACAAAAAACCTGCGCAACGATACCATAACGACATCGTTAAGGTTACAGAATCCTGCTACAGGACTAAGTAAATCCGCGGACGGATGTACGTCATGACAGCCATCTTGAGCGACCACTTTTTGAAAGTGAGAGGGAATGCTCGAGCATAGCGGCAAGCGGCATACCGTACGCCGTACGCATTAATATGCAGTGTATAGTCTTTTATGCAACAGTGTATGGAAATAAACGATCAAAATGGTATACTGTAGAGCTTGTGGCATAACAGCAGCAGCTCGAAATCATGGAATAACGTTTCATCGGTTAGTATTATCAACAATAATGAGATTTTTATTTTGGAGATTATAATCATATGTATAGTATTGTGAAATTGTAAATTCACAATAATTACTAAATAATTTTCATTCACAAACAGGTTTCCGAAAAATCCGGATCAAAGAAATGCATGGATAAATTTTTGTAAAGACGAAGAATTTAATATAAATTTAGATTTTAGATTTTAACATTGCTCTTATGGAAATACTGCACGAGTGCAATCCCAATGAAAAACGCCATTAAAATTTGGTATTATTGTTGCATATTATAGTTATTTTCTTTTAATTGTACATTATTTCCTAATTAAACATAACAAGTCATTCAATATTGGCGCCCTTGAGCGGCCATCTTGAGCGACCACTTTATATAGTCACTTTCGTCCGCACTTTTACGATCAAACGCTCCCTCCTGTTTCTTTTTACTCAATGCGTCAAAGCTTATAGCGTTTTCGAATAAACGGGGTTTGAACGATCTAGGGTTGATCAATCACTATTTTACTATAAATGCAAGTCTTTCATTGGTGGAGAGGTTGCAATGACGTCATTAACCAATCTTGGGTCGTTCAAATCCTGTATAATCGAAAACGCTATTAAAGTTAGCGATCTAGTACTAGTATAGACATCTGTGCTGTGAAATTTTCACTCTTCACGTTTTCGTTCCTAGAGAAAATTACACGATCGATGCCCAGTGTAGAATTTACGACAAGAGTGACAAAAAGTCCGAGTCCTGACTGGATTTTGGTGAACTCATGCGGGGAAATTAAGAAATTCCGGACAAGGACAGACGCTTCCACAGAAAAAATATATCATTTCAGCTACATATTTTTTCTTTAAGACAACTATGTGTTTCTTTTTTACACCAATTGATTTCTCTCATTGTATTGTGCATAAAAGTTTTAAGATAAAATAATTCAAATATGAATATTTAACGAGATATTTCATAGTTTATATAAAATTATGTCAAATTAAAGTATAAAATATCTCGTAAACTTATTAACGTAAACTCCCGTAAACTATTTAAATTTTTGGTCATCCTACCCTTATTACGCCGAATATTACGAGGAATCAATTTATATAAAAAAAATCAGAGTAATTCTATTTAAGAAAATAAAGATGACCTTCAAATCTCTGAAACGCTTCCATTTATAAAAAAAATACACACTATGTAATGATTCCCTCGAAATATGCAACTTTTGTATGCAACAATATTTTATACAACGCATAGTTTACAAGTTATTCATAGTTTACAAAGGTAAATTTTTTTATCAGACTCATCCTGTATATAGTTCAATGTATGAGAAGACTCTCTCCAGTATGTTATAGAGCTCAATGTTGATAATCCTTTTGGAATTAGGAATTTGATGGTATTGTCATAAGTGACGCGTATTTTGAAATAAAAATGTTACATATTTAGCCGTGTTACATGTTTATAATAATCAGATATATTAAAATAAAATTTCTAAGTTATATAATGCATATTCACTTTCGATAATATTGCATATATATAATACGCTATTATCTATAAAGTTTCCAATACTTTCTCCTCTTTTTTGGCAAACCTATAATAAAAAAAACAAATATATGCATAAAATGTGATATAAAAAATATCCTGCGTAAAATTGAGTACATGATTACTAATTTTACTTGCTTGCGACTAATGTATAAATAATTACATCTGTATAAACTATATCTACATGTGATTGCACATATATTTGTAATGCACTATCAAAAGTATAATACACATTTCTTGAAACTTTAATTATAAAATAAATATTTTAACATGACATTTAAAAATTTAAATCTTGCTATATATAAAGAATAATTTGTTACACTAATTATAAATTATTACAAAAAAGCTATGTAAAAACTTTAAATAGGAAGTGTTATTATTATGTATTATGGAAAGACATAATATATACTATACAATCACTATTATAATCGTTAAAAGTGCACCCTACATAATTCTAGTTCATTATTTACTTAACTTGTGAATTTGATAGATATATACAGAACTCTTTCTTTTTTTGCACTTTGTTATAATCCATATGTGAATTCAATATGTGACTTGCACACGTTCTCATTTTATGAAATACACTGTACAAAAAAATACAAGCTTATATCTAAAAGATTTCTAGTATGCCTTAATATTTGCTCTTTTGAATTTTTTCAGATATCCTAAAAAAAATACTTATTAAGCTTATTGTGTGTGTCGTTCACAAAATGTTTAAAAGCTTCTTTCTTATAATTCTATTTTCTTTACTGTCACATAACAATCACATTATCAATCGCCAAATATATACATAAATATTGAATTTAAATCAAGATTGTCGGGGTCCTTTTAATTTTTGATAAGAAAAATTACTTTTCATCTATTTTGCTCATGTAAATTTAAGAAATTTACTTCTATAAAAAGAATCCTTTTACTAACAAAAATAACATGAAAATGATAGATAATTATAAAAATGCTTTATATGGACGATATGTCTCGAAAAGGTAACATGTATTAATTGTTTGGCAGTTAAAGGTGCAATCATGCCTAATTGACTACTGCAACAGGAAAGAATCGTCTGAATTTCGGCAACCGACTGTTTCATAAATTACTGCGAGGTAGCTCAAGAATAACAAGTCACAAAAAAGTTAGGTACCTACATTTGTATAACCGGCGAAGAATAAAATTGATCCTGAAACGGGAAACCTTGATTCGTATATATTTCGTGTACTCAGTGACAGGTTTTTTTTTTTTGCAAAACAACTGATGTGCGAAATGTGATGTATCGGTGTAAAAAATACGTTGACGTTATTAAAATATCAGTTGTAATATAATGTATAACAATTTCCACACGACGTATGTACATACACTGACGAGGAATGATTTTGAATTATATTAAAAATAATACATACTTCCATGTTTGCTAGTATGACTTCCTACATGAAGTAGTAATTTATGTACTGTCGTCGTTAATAATACATATACTCTCCATTTTGCCTTTCTGAACAATATACTCCTTGCTATTTACAACTTTCACGGAGATTTCTATTCGCGCTGCTAAGTCGTACGATCCTGGACTGAGTAATACAGCGTGTAACTTTACGGTACTATTTGTATGCGCTTCAACGTTAGAATAAACTGACGTATGGCCGGCATACTTATAGTACGCCGAAGCTTGCGGCAAGTACAGTTGGGATTTTATGTTTGGAAGATGAGTTTCACTGTAAAAGAAAAATTGCACACACACACACACACACACATATATATATATATATATATATGTGTGTGTGTGTGTGTGTGTGTGTAGCCATATATGTAAGAGTAAAAAAAAGTAATAAAAATAGAAATTACGATATTTAGAATATTAAGATGTAATGATATGATATTTTAACTCACTTACCTACTAGTGCCTATTGTATTTATTTTAACATCGAGTCGCATCTCTGAGTGATTTTGTAAATACATTATTACAGGAATAATGCACAATCGGTTCTGCTGAAAATCGTGTGTTACTTGTTTCTGATGATTTAGAGAAAAGGAAATTAGACTTTTCAAGCATTCTGCTTCCCACGCAGGATCTTTGACAGGGACCGTTACCATATTAGGTACATTTCGGTCCGGCCCGAAGATTTTTAAACGTGTACCGTATTCATTACGCTCAGTACGTGATTCTCTCAGATGTTTGTATATTTTGTTCAAATGCTCAAGTTCGAGGTGATGTTGTCCAACCGCTTTCCGAGTGACTATGCCGCTTTCCGTCACATTGGCATACCACTTAACGATTAATGTAGAATTTAATGCCATGATATCCGATATAGAGTTATGCTCGATATTTTGTTGTGGTTGAAATTGTTGTATATCGTTTACGTTTTCATTTATATCCAACGGTTGAATGTGACGTTTCTGTACAAAATCAATAAATGGATAATCGTTGATCAACATAGCATTGCCTTCGTCAGAAATCAAGGATACATCGGAAATGGCCAAGTCGCTACCAGTTTTTTTCTTCAGCTTCAGCATCAGATGGAACACTTCTTGAGGCTGCACTTTTATACTTGATGATGGAACAGAAGAATGAAATGCGAACCATAGTACGCTTTGAAGCGATACTTTGGATAGCATAATTTCGTTTATGGATGGATCGTGAACCTGATTCGTATTCTTAACAGACATTATTAAATTTAACGTTGGCGAGTCGTTTTTAAACAATCCGCTTCTAGCAGCAATCGCGGTAATTTGAATTGAATCCAACACCGTTAATTGCCAGGTGTGTCGGCACAACCGGTGTTTCAATGTGATTCTTGACTCGGCATTTTCATAATAGAAAAGCAAATCTAATCTGTGAGTGCCCTTCTCACGAGGTGCTTGCACCCAAAGCGGCAGTTTATGAATTTCACCCACATTTAATATACCATTTTTAGAGACTGGTAATATTACCTTCGTGACTGATCTACTCTTTTTCAACATTGAATCTGTAAATACAACATTATCATATTCAACAATATACATGAAAACGATAGCAGTAATTAGACAGAATGTAAAGCTATATCTTTTTCATTTGCAAGAACAAAATGTACACATATTATACAACTTTTATTTTTTATTCAGTAAAATAACTGAGCAAAAGATGAGCAATTGAAATTCTGGAATTCTCTTTCGGATAAGATGCTTACCTTCGTTTCTGTCAAAGTCTGATGTGTTTTTCAATGTGAAAAGTTTAGCATCCGTGGATGCAATGCATATATTCGTCAATGATGCGTTGCCTACATTTTCCAATGTGACTTCTATCTTTTGTATTTCACCGCATAGCATCTCTGGTGACAGTTTAGAAAAGAATATCTATGAAAGAAAGTACAAATGTCAATTTTGCACGTCGCATCAAAATAATATTATTTTTGCTTGAGAATATACCTGCATAAATGGTGCCTTTTCTATTACATTCATTTGCAATCTATAATCTTTTCCGTATGTGATCATGCCAGGCTTTTCTTTGATATTTTTCAATTTTGGCGGCGTAATTTCGAACAATCTTTTCCCGGCGACAACGGTGGTTGAATTAGCAATCGGTGGATCACTTATTGTCTGTACTGAATTGGACAATTTATAACTTATACCTATAATCTCCAACTCCCCTACACGCCTGGGTGTAAGAGATAACACGATATTTTGCTTGCAAACTGGTTGCAACAAAATTGCATCTATAACATCCGAGTCGACCGGACTTGAACTGTTGCTCGTTTTTATTTCATTCGTAATAACTTCATTGTTGCAAGTGAACGACCACAATAAAGTCATATCTGACAACGGTAGCGGAACATGTAGCGGATTGTGCAATTCGATAAAATAATGCACTGGTTCATCTAAAACTGCATTTGGCTTTACAGTATTATTACTTGTTCTAGAATACAATGCGACTGTCGGCTTAAATATCATGGGTAGAGATCCCTGTGCCTCAGTTATCAAGAGTTCCTCCATTTTGAACCATTTCGCATCATCCGTCTCTTCGGTACTGAACGTAATGTGACTCGCTGGAATATTGCTTTCAGTTTGTTTACTCAACGGACCGTATAATACTTTAATATTGTCGCTATTTAATAAGGGCAAAGGTAAAATAGGAAGTTCTTTGCAAGTCGCACCACTTTCCTGAAACAATAACTGTGCAACGATCATAAATAAAAATTATCTAATGCAATTATTATTTATATGATGACTTATTCGTTTCTCACATGTACTCGCATGTACTCACATTACAAGTATGTAAAAATTCTCGTAAAAACGCAGCTTGTTGTAAAGCATGTTGTTTGCTGGAAGCGTTAAGTAATTTTTCAAAGGCCTTTACCGCCTCGGAAATTTGTTTTAGGGACGCAGCCTGCCTGCCGATTGTGAAATGAATGTGATCTTCAGCCAAAGACCAACCTCTTTTGTAGTACACCTAGTGCCACATATTATTAATGAACAATTCAGCGTTTCTAACAAAACGCAACGATGTTTACCTGATAAGCTTGTTGATAACATCTCAGCGAGTGTTTTCTTTGTCCGGCCTTCGAGAATCTATGTCCAGCTAAAACCGCATGGAAGGCATATTTGCGCATCATCTTCGGTCCGATAAAGCAATAAGCAGCTTGCTCCAGTAACAAAGCCGAACGTAAATCTGAATCCTCGCTGGTCATTCGTATCAGTTGTTTCGCAGCTTCGCCGTATAAACCCCGACCCTTTAAACACTCGGCGCTAAGCAGAGTAGCTCTTGTTGCGAACTGAGGCATCTTACAGCTGTTCGCGTAAGTCAGTATCGCATCGTCCATGTACTCGATAGTTTTCCTGTTTGTCTCCCCTTGCATAAAGGCGCTTAAAGCAGCCATCTCCAGAGCACCCGCATAATATACCCATGCTTGATCAGCTGCAAAGTCGCGCTTAGCACTGTGATACACCTGATATGCGAGCGAATAGTGGCCAAACATGAAACACAGATCGCCTAAACGTCGTAATTGCAACTCTGGCGATTCTGCTGTATAACTAAAATATAAATGTGCAAAATCTCAGAATTGCCGTACATATATCGTGTTTACACAATTAATGTAATTTTAAGACAAATTTGCTAAACTAATAAATCTAAAAATTTAATAACGCAACGTGTAGTACTTGAAAGACCAATAAAAATCTAAAAATCTTAGATTTTCCAAAAAAATTTTGATATAAAATTTAGAATTAACATAGTCTAGCAAATTACAATAAAATGTAAAAAATAATGAGCAATAATTTCTTCTTACATTACAGCATTGGATGGTGTCGAACCAGGTACACCTGGCTTATTTGTACCAAACCATCTTCTTGTAGCGCTAAATAATGACCTGCTGACTCCTTTTTTGTTCGAGATCACATCGTTCAATAGGCCAATCTGCTTTTCTACATAAGGCAACAAACTTCGCAAACAGAATTCCGTTATCAACGTGCGTAATCTTTCCAAATCTTGGGTGGAAAGACGAGCACCGTGTTGAGCAACCACATAATTCGGAGAATCCGCCCAAACATTTGTATTTATTGGCGAACTAGTTAGAACAGATTGACTTTTAACGTTAGTTGCAGAAATAAAACTTTGCGATTTTTCATTGTCTGGACTGAGTGGATGTATTGTAACTGGAACCGCTTCTTGTCCAACTTCTAAATGCGTATTCGTCAATTCAGATATTTCAGAAGAGAGATTTATTGCGTCAATTGCAGATACTAATTGTGGTAAATCGGGAGATGACAATGCAATACAGTTGTGTGGCATTACCGGTGTCCCCGCTTGGCTCGTTCTGCAACAGAAAAAAATCACTTTTCATGAACTATAAATTTTCGAAATGTATTTAAGCTATATATATAAGCTTATAATCTATTCTTGCCAACATACTATCGTTATTTATAAGTAATTAAAAAATTTACTTGTCAGACTCAGTAGTCAGCTCGCTCGGCATAGCGGATACTCCGCCTGTATCCGCAGGTGTACGAGGAGAGCTGTTTTGTTCACTGCTAGACAATTCTGAATGTTTAATCAAAAATTGGCTCCAAGGATCTGGCAAGTGTGTATTATCATCGGAAAGACCAGGCGGTCTCGAATTCATTTGTAATAAAAAACAATTGTTAGCACCGTAAATAGTCTTCATCTCAGTAAAAACTAATTCTGCTCTGAAAGATAGATACACACATATAGGTTTCTTTTTTCAAAAAAACTGCCATTATTAACTCTGTAGTTTTGTATAATTAATTGTTGTATAAAGATAATATAAAAAATTAAAAATGAAAAAAAAGTGTACTTACTTGTTTCTATCGTCCTGAATAGCATCATGAACTAAGATATAATATCTAAGAGCATTATTATTGAACCATTTAGGCAATTTTCCTGGTATACTTTGATGCAATTGTGCTCCCATAGTCTGTATTTTTTCTAATGGATTATCTTCAGCTGTAGAAACAACTATCATGCATCCAAGTAGATGCTTTGTGAATTCATGATCTGATGGAAACTGGACACTTAGAAAAGTTTCTCTCCATGCTTCAAACCAGGGAACAGAAATGGGAATATCTAATTCAGTTGCACCAATGCAAACAGTGGTTGTACGTTCACACAAAGCAGAACTGACTGCTTCGTTCAACATCTTTTTGGCAAGACAAGGTTCTGGTGGTCGCGTATTAATATCTTGTATAGCAAGGCGAAGATTTCTGATCGTTACAGTGTTTCCTTGTGGATCCTTAAAATGACCTAAAAGTACAGATTGTTTTTAACATAATGTATTTGTGCACATATAATTTAATTTGAAATTTTTAATTCTAATAGATACATAATAAGAGTAATCAACTGCATCAATAAGACTTTTAATTATTAATATAGTATATAGGATATACGTGGATAATGCATAGATATCCTAAGTAAAAATGAATGATAAACTGACACGTGAAAAGTGTTGGCTATTTAGTTTACCTTCGGTATTTAATTTGCAAAAAGGTTGAAGCAACTCGACGAACGACAGATTATTCTTTTGGCACGCAGCATCGGCCGTGACCGAGCAGACCACGGCAATCTGCGGAGAAAAAGCATTACCAATGAACTCCCGCGGGGTTAGTTTACACTGAGCCATGTTTTTGCACGTGAACTAATCAAAACATAACCCGCAACCGCGCTTTTACGATAGCATCGAAACGCACTCTCATCGATTCGTGATCATTCGCGTCCCGCATTCCGCGATCACATTACTCCCGCTCGTTATCTCACAAGTCGACGATAGACCTGCGAATAACAACTCATCCCTCTGCAGTTGCGCTGATAAATATGTCCACCGAACAGCTGTTTTCCAAATAAACGTCACTGAAAATGTGATAATCAAGAAATGCGACCAAATCTTGCATTGCGCCATAAGACCGGAGCAACTGTGAGGGTGCTGTCCCATGACAGTCGGAACTTCGGAAAATGGAATCTCGGAAAAGTAATGGAGTGGGGGTCAACCAATCAGAATCATGTAAGTTTCCGAGTTTCGTTGGCCTCGTTCTCCATGGAGTGACTTTTATGGAAAACGGAATGGTATTCTAACCTCAAAATATTTTTTAATTTAGAAAATTTCTTCATTATCTTCTATTATAATAAAAAATACATTCAAATTTCACTTTTTTACGGATTCTTCTACTATAGTAATTATTTTTTTGTTATAAAACAATAAAAATAAATTTTTTAATTTTTAAAAATTTCGGAAATATTAATCCATAGGGAACCCAGCCACAAAAATTTCGCACCGACAATTTTTTAAACAATTTCTTTCTTCAAACGTTTCTTAAACATTTTTTAAACGTTTATTCTATATATATATATATATATACCGGGTGTTTCAGACCACCCGTCCCCCCT